CATGAGAGGTGTTCGACATATCGACCGTCTTCTGTTATGGACAGACGGGGCAGTTTTTGAACATTTCTCGCGGAATTCATTAACTTAGTGGGGGTGAGAGATACCCTCTCATAACTGCTAAGTATTTCTAATTCTTGTCTAGATTACACGGAAGAATAAGGAACCTTTATTCTTCCGCACATATATCCATAGGATTAGATCCATGGGCACTAAGTCAGGCGGCCTCGACGGCCAACAGCTGGGATCTTGGTTAGCTATTCAATTATTCTTGAAATTGGCTGCTAAAATTTATAAAATCTAAAAAATCTAAAAAAATATGTTTTCGAGTTCCATTAAGGGCATATCATCAATAAGGGGTCTAACGCCTACTAGTTAAAAGTAGCGAACTTTTAAAAATTCTGTATTTCGAAGGGGATTATAACAAAATGTCAAGTGTGCTATATTTTTGGAAAGGTAATTTTAAATTCTTTTCAGTTAATTAAAAATATAGAGGGTGTCCCAAATAAAAAAATAATTTTTCTGTTGATAACTCTTAAATTATTAATTTTAAAAAAAAATTATACATAAACCATTAAATTCTACGTAAAAAGGTGCTTTGGAAATATTTTCATAGAAATACAAAATTTTCCATAGCAAAAAAGTTACAGCAATTTGTTAAAAATGCACATTTTTGAAAAACACCGCGTAACTCCGAAACGGTAACACAGCGATTTTCACCATCATGTTTGAAAATTGAGCTCCGGACACTTATATTAGTTTTTGTCTATCTCCTATAGAAAAGGGTGTTTCCATTTAAAAGCGTCGAATTTGACCCACCCTGTACATGAGGCCTAGAACGTTTAAAACGTTGACAATCATCACAATGCTTTACAAACTTTTCAACATCCGTATGTAAATTAGACCAAAAATAATATTTTTTTTATATTATTATACATTCGATTTGTCCCTGCATATCCACCAGTTGGCAGGATATGAAAATCATTAAGAATAATTTTTTGACACTCTCTATCGTGATTTTTTTGATATCGTTTATAAAACAAATTTTAAAATTATGTTTCATCTCTTTAATATTCTCTTTTATATTATTTAATAATTTCGGATTTTCTTTATTTTTAATAACGGTTAATTCTGGAATATCATATTTCTCACAAATTATACTGAGGTTTCTCAACGATGTACCGTAACGCCGATCCAAAGTCTGAATTTTGCAAAATATAAATAGTTTTAAGATTTTTTATAAGTATAAAATTACCTAATTGCATTTCAATTTTTTCCTTCTTTTGCTATAATTTATCTAAATTATTTTTTGTAATTAAACTTAATTCATATGAGTTTTTAGAACGTCTTAACAATTCTACCACTCCAGGGTGATCAAGCCTGTCGCTGTCAAAATTATTAAAACTGACTTTATCCTCATTCTGATTTAAATTTCTACTTTGCTGTCTTGTTATAGCAAATAATGTTTGTTCTACTGTATTTCTCATATTTTTTAGTTCGTCAGAAGAAATTTCTATTCGTGAAAGTGCATCAGCGGCTACATTATTTTTACCTTTTATATATTTTATATCAAAATTATATTCTTCTAGAATTAACCTAAATTTTGTCAATCTACTAGAATGGTTAGCCATCCCAAAAAATAAATTAAAGGCCGATGGTATGTATATATTATAAATTTTTTGCCATATAAGTAACAAGAAAATTGTTTTATCCCAAAGACAATAGCTAAAAGCTCTTCTATTGTAGAATATTGTTTATCATCTTTATTTAATGCTCTGCTCACGTATGCTATAGACCTATCATCACTATTTGATAGAACTGCGCATACACTATGACCAGATACATCCGTTTTTAAAATAAAAGTGTTGTCTGGAGAAATATTTGTATTGTAATACTGTAAAACAGGGTGATTTATTAATGATGTTTTTAAAACTTCAGAAGAATTTTGACATTCAGGTGTCCAGTCAAATTGAAAATCTTTTCTCGATAAATAATTTAAAGGTGCGGCAATTTCAGCAAAATTTTTAATGTATTTTGCAAATGCTATAAATCGCCTTGCTTCATCGGAACTTTTTGGTACAGGATAATTATTATTTTATATTTAACTTTTATTTTCTCAGGGTCTGGCAAAACACCTTCGGAAGACACCACATGGCCCTAATATATAAGTTTTAATACTAATTAAGTTAATAATATAAAAGTTTTTTTTTCAAAAAACACATTTGTTAGAATTCAATTTTAAATTAACTTCTCTTAATCACTGCAAAACTATAACTATAACTATTACTTGTTTCCATTATTATCAACTTTTTTCGGTACTAATAAAAGAGGTGAGGGCCACTCTGACCTGGCCTCCTCAATAACTGTTTAGTTGTAGTACAATAATATCAAGCTTTGTAAAATATTATCTTTTTGGTTTGTTATTCTAAGATGGGACCATTTCAGTTTACGAAGTTATCAGTCGACATAGGCAAACGAATTTTAAAAGGCCTAAGCAAATAGTCTAATGATATTCAAGACACATAAACTCTCTAAAAGTACGCATATATCCTGAGAAACTAACTAAGCAAATAATACAATCTTCTAAATAATTTAAGGTCACATAAACGAGGGTAAAGTAGAACAAACATTCATCCCTTATTATCAAAACTCTATTTGACAGAGCGGTACCAGTTGTGTACCCTAGGGATATCTCAAAATAAACAACGCAGAAAAAGCACGTAGACATGCTTAAGGAAATAAGTAAAATTAAATCATCCCCTCGCTAGAGGTTTTACATTGAAAATTAAAAGTATTAAATATATGTTTTAAAATCAGAATCCAAATGTTCCCGAGATGAATGTCTGAAAATTATAGAAATAGGATTATCTTTTTTTCCGTTCCTAGAGTTAAATAGAAATAGACAAAAATATGAAGAAATGAAGAGTTCATTTCTAGGCGGTTTTTTTTCTAAGGTAATCCTATGGCACGATATCATTTGTATTAGTTAAGGCTTAGATTATGAATATTATTCAGCAAATTGGTAAAAGAGTAAGATTTACACGGAAGGGTTTAAAAATTACATTTAATTAATAAATAGGACATGCTGATGCCCTCTCGGGATAAGGACCAGAAACAAGGTTGAAAGAAGTCTAGGGATCTTTCGGGGAAGGAACCCTTCGGCCAATTAAAAAGGTTTTTTTTTTGGAGGTGTAAAATACCTTTACATACGGAGTGTGGGACTCAATCTCTCCTTAAGCTGCTTGGAGGACACTACCCACTAAACGTCACCCCCTCGCTCCTGCCACGTCTACCTGGACCCGCTGGACGCATCTCTTCAAGTAGCGCCGGACTGTTCCTTTGTTGTCATTACCCCTGCCTTTCTCTGTATTTTGCCTCTAGTATATTTTAGGCCAGTTTTGAGATGGCTTCAAAGTTCTCTCTTCTTTCTGTTACCGATTTTAAGAAGGTATCTGCGGAGGTGTTGCCACCAATCGTCATGCGTACCTCACATCTTTCCTGTTCCCATCTTGGACAAGCAAACATTGTGTGTTCTGGAGTATCATTGGGTTCAGCACAGTATCGGCATTCCGCGACTTCCCTCTTTCCAATTTTACACGGGTAATCCCCAAAATTTCCTTGGCCACTCAATATTTGAGTAAGATAGAAGTTTACCTCTCCATGCTTTCTTTTAATCCACATATTTATATTTGGGATGAGCTTATATGTCCATCTTCCTTTTTGTGATACTTCCCATTCTGCCTGCCACTGCTGCACTGTGCGGTTTCTTTCCATCTCTCTGCTTGCCCTGGTTTGTACTTCACCCTTGAGAAAGAGTCGTTCTCTTTCTCTTGAGAGAAGATGTAAGGGCACCAGACCCGATATCACCAAGGCTGCCTCAGTTGAAGTTGTCCGATACGCCGAGCAGACCCTCAAAGCCATGACTCTCTGTGCACCTTCAAGTCTTTTTTTATTTACGTGCATATTGGTTGCTTCGTTCCACACAGGTGCTCCATACATAATAATATCCTGGCACGCATATGCTAACACTCTTCTCTTTGCTGGTGTTGGGCCCCAAACGTTTGGCAGTATTGCGGACAACGCTTTAGCAGTTCGTTGTGATTTCAGACACACAACTCCTTGATGTGCAGGCCCATCGTGAGTGCACGGTCTATGTGGAATCCAAGATAGTTGACTTGCTTTACTGGATTTATTATTATATCCTTAAAATTAAGCCTTATATGGTCAACTTTTCTCTTGCGGCTCAGTAAAATCGCCTCTGTTTTTTCCACAGCTATTTCGAGTCTGTGCTCACGCATCCATCTGGCTATGATTTTTAGTGTATCATCGACAGTCTGCATTAGGTCGAGGTCGTTTATTTTTTTTGTTTCTTTTGGTTTTTTTTGTTATTATCACAGCAAGATCATCGACGTAACAGATCAACTCTGTCCCACCTGGTACAGTAAGCTCCATGACACTGTCGTAGAATATGTTCCACAGAGTTGGCCCCAGCACCGAGCCCTGTGGGACGCCACCGAATACCTCTCTTTCATCTTCTCTATTGAGAACTATAAATGTATTATCAAGGTAGCTTCTTATTATGTTCACCAAATATCCACTTATGCCCCATCTTCTAAGTTCTTTAATAATTATTTTCCATGACGCGCAATTAAATGCATTTTTAACGTCGACTAAAATCAAAGCATTATGCCAAGTGGCTTTTCTTTTCACGATATCCGATATTTTTTTCATTGCATGTGTGGTAGATTTCCCCTTTACAAATCCATACTGGTTTGGATGCATACCATTTCGTTTCTTCCTAATTTCTTCCAAGAGTCGCGTATTGATGAGTTTCTCATAGACTTTCCCGATTACATCAATGAGGCAAATCGGACGATATTTTGGTGGATCATTTATGTGCTTCCGGGGTTTCTCTATTAGGGTTAATTTGGATCTCTTCCATTCTTTAGGGAATTCATTTCTCTGAAGAAAGTTATTGAAAAATGTTCTAAAATATTCTACATTTATTTCGTTTTTATCACATTTGGTGGCAAATTATCACAGCCCGGAGATTTGTTAATTTTTATATCTTTGGCAGCATTTATTATATCTGAATCACAAAAAATATCACATTCTCTTATCACAGTTTGTATATTATTTGGTTGAGTCCAGGTTTGTCTCTCATATACAAATAGAGCCTTAAACTGTTTGATTTTTTCTTCTGGGTCCATTTGAACTCTGGGTGGCATTTTTTTCAGCTGGGATCTTATTATCTTATATGCTTGACCGTAAATATTTTCTTGTAAGTCATCGCACAGTTTTTCCCATGAACTTATTTTTGCAATTCTGATCTTTTGAGACAGATCCTGCTTTGCTTCTTTGTAGGTACGTTTATAGAGCTCGCGAAGATCATCGTTTCTTGTTTCTCGTTGAAACCTTCTTCTCTTTTTTTTTACTTCTAAAATATTTGTTTGGATATCTTCGTTCCACCAGTACGGCATCTGGAAGTCTTCATCACAACGGACAGTCGGAGTACTTTTATGGTATGTTGCGCGAATTATTTTTGCCATTTTGTAAGCTGACATAGTTGGTGACTTGCCCGGTATGCTATATTTGAATGCTTCACTAAGCTTAACCTTATTAATTTCTCCGTATTTATACCTGATTTTTTTTCCTTGCGAGTTATCTGATGGTATTTCGGTAAAAATAAACTTGTGCTCTGTTACATCCGGATCTTCAAGGACTTGCCATATGGGTTTCATCTGCAGTAATCCATCGCATACTATTGACAGATCAATATACGATGTGCCAGATGTTCTGACCAAGGTTGGGTAAATTCCGTCATTTAGTACGGTTAGGTTATTGATCTCGCACCATTCCAGTACTTCCCTGCCTCTTCTTTCAGGGCGATTTCCTCCCCAAACTTCATGTTTGGCGTTAAAGTCTCCAGTGATCAGTAATTTTGTACGAGGATGTTTTTGTTTCAGCTCTAAGGTGGCCTCTTGCAGTTCAAGCATTAATGCGCAGAAGCTGTCAAAAGTTATGTTTGGGCTCAGGTACGCTGATATTATACAAATCCCTAAATATCGTAGACTAACATAACAGTGACCAGATTTGTATTCCAGGACATGCAAGTTCTTATTAAAGTTTATGATCATAGCGTCAGCATTGCTATTATGGTAATAATTTCTGTTGCCATTTCTGCATATTTTCTTATTTGGTTCAGTAATACATATCACGTCGCATTTTTTGGATGCCGCTACCGCTGCAGCTGTATCATGTACGGGTATGCTTCTATTAGCATTTATCTGGAGTACTCGCATTGTAGCATGGATTTACACAAAGTTACAAACAAGCAAACTATATTTATCACAAAACAAGAACAAGACAAATATGAAATTAGTAAATTAAAGCTATTAATTAAAAAGGTGCGAAATATGCATTTGGATGGGTATTCGAAGGTTCGTCAAACAGGGGCGTGCCGAAGATGTAGTAACGCCTGTCAGAGATAGTACCAGCATCAGTATTTTCATCATAAAAAATGAGTTTAAGGTGTCCGGTGGCGTAGAGGTACAGGCTCTCGTCTACGAATACAAGGTGTGGGTTCGATTCCCACACCCGGCATTTCATCAGCCGACTATTTTTATTAAAATAAAAATAGTTTGGGTATCTAGGTCGACTCAGCCTTAAATGAGTACTTGGGATTCACAATCCTGAGCTGATAATAGGCGGTTGAAGCGTAGTGCTAGCCACATTACCTTCCTTGTATACCGAACAGCTCTAGTATAACAAGCTGAACCTTGTTACTCCCAAGGCGTTAAACGCTATATACGGGAGCTATTATTATTATAAAAAATGAGTTCGATGCTGACTTTTAAATTAGACGGTCGAATTTACTCCTTGTAGATCTTATTTTATACAGTGGTCTTTTTAATTGTTTTTAGTAAGTTCTCTATCTAAAAATTTTCTCAAATAAATTCTCAAATTAGGAAATTCTAAACTATTCATGCTTAAAGTTTTTTAATTGTTGTTTTGGATTTTCTCTAATATTTTTGGCGATTCTGGGAGGATTTTTTCTATTTGTGGATGCAGGCGGTTTGACATAATTTTTGCAAGAACTTTTCGTCCAATAACCAGTAGTGAAATTCCTTGGTAGTTTCCGCAGTCTGATGCACTTCCTTTGTTCTTAAATATATTCACTATATTCGCGTTGCAGAAGTCCTGAGGTACCTCTCTGCTTTCGCATATGACATCGAAGAGAGCCTTAAGATGACCAATAAGTTCTTTACTTGCGCACTTACAGATTTCCGCCAAATCAATTACGTCACAGCCGGCTGATTTGTTGTTTTTAAGCTGTTTTATGGAGGCTTTTATTTCCTGTTGTGTTATTGGGATATCTAATATTTCAAGGCTGTTATACAGAGGTATTTTCTTTTGTGTTTCCATATTGGGGGTGTTTTCTTGGTTAAGAATATGGCTGTAATGCTCTTTCCAGCTGTTTCTGATTTGCTCTTCCTCTTTTAGAAGCTTACCATTTTGAGCCTTAATTGTGCAGCTTACCTTCTTAGTTGGACCGTATACTTCTTTTACAGCTTCGAAGAATTTACGATAGTCTTGATGTGCGGCGTACTCTTGAATCTGATTAGCCTTTTGTGACCACCAGTCATCCTTTAGTTGGCAGAGGTTTCTTCAAAGCGTGTTGTTGGCTGCTTTAAAGTTGTCCACTAGCCTAGATTGTGTGTATTTGCAGTGACAGCTTGATGTGCTCTATGCTTTGGTTGATACCTTGACATGGCCAACAAAGCCTGTATTTTAGAGCCCCTGCTCACTTATAGTCCGGTCAAATTAGACCAAAAAATAAGGGTAAAGGTACATAAATTTACAACAAGCTGAAAGTACGTGTAATTGTTTAAAACATAATAATTATGTTTTAAACGATGTTTAATTATTAAAAATAACATTTTAAAATTCCGAATCATTCCGGTGTCTGTAAATGAAGAATGAACTAAACACGTTACAAAGTTATCTATAAAAAATGTACTAATACTTTTTTCCTTAGAGCCACTGTTTCTGAGATATAACGAGTCAAAAAGTTGTACACTATCTCATAGGTGGCGTGGAAACGTGTGCATATTATGACGATTACAACTCTTTGACTCGTTATATGTCAGAAATATGATACATTGATACATTTGATACATTGATACATTTTTTATGATCTATAATTTTTGTTTCAAGTAATTTTATGATAAAACTTACCGTTTTGCTGAAAATCGCGAAAAAAAAACATTTTTGGCCGTTGACTTCGCATATTTTTTTCCAGGCACCGGAATGATTCGGAATTTTAAAATGTTAATTAAAATAATATGTTTTAAACAATTACACGCATTTTGAGATTGTAAATTTATGTACCTTCGAATGTCTAAATTGCTTCCCCTAAGAAATGCTTGTCGTTGCTGGAGAAGATCCTTTTCAGGTGCTGGAGGAATCCCCTCTAGCACTTTAGCTCGGTCTAAGAAGCATCTTATTGTCTTGTCCCTGGCTGTAGTGTCGTGGCCAGGGAATTGCACCAAGACATATAACGATGCCGGACGTGGCTATCCTGTTCGTCATACCAGACACACTTTACTGTCTGTGGTCATGTCTCACGGGTAGAGGGTGTGGGGGGGTCTTGGCTTTACCGCCCGGACCAAGAGGAGACAACCTCACCAAAAACCTACATCCTAAGATGGCGGGAGCAGGTCAAAGGGATGCGTGGCTAGATAGAAGATTAGCCTTTACTGGTTTCAACCTTGGGGCACCCCATTGTATTTACCCCTTACTTCTACATGCTGGGCTCTGTAGAAGTGGAACGATCATCCCTAGCGACTCGTGGGAACACTATGAGATCTAGTCTTAAAAACACCACCGGTGAAGCTGTGGGAAAGACTAGCGTCTGGCGGCAGAACAATGTCAGCCAATCAAAAGCCTGGAATACACAGTAAGTTTCCATAGTCTCTGATTGGTTCAAATTTTTTGACTTATTTGAATTTGACATTGACAAGAGACGCGGGTCGCTATTTGTGTTTGTTTTGTTGTTTTGTTCGTGTTTGTACTCCGCTGTAGTATTTAACCAGCGAGAACCAAAAAGTTAAGAGGCAACACAAAGCAATGAGGTTTTTGAATGTCCGGAGTGCGGTAGACAAATAACATCACGTATTGGGCTTTTCAGTCACAGAAAAGCTCATGAAAGAAGACGCCTTGCGTGAACATCTTCTGATGCGTGTCAAATACTCGTCAGCGAGTAATGGCAGTATGTATGTATGTAGACCTCGTTTTTGTAGTTATTTATTTTATTTTCATTTAACCAAGTAGGTACTTACCATTTTTGTAGACTCTGGTTTATATAGTAACATATCCTCTACACAAAATCATAATATGAGAAAATCTCAAAAAAAAACAAAGAAAAACTGAACAAGAGGTAACAAAAAGGATAAATCACTTGAAATGCTTGGAAGAATTGTGCCACTTTAAATGCACTAGATTACAAAGCCTTCGACATCATTTAAAATTGAAGCATGTTGTTTTGCAAGAAGTAGAAGAATTGCAATTTGAAAACATAGAAGGGTATGTATTGTAAAATAATAATATTAATTGGAAAAAATAATTCCTTATTAAATTTCCTTAAAAATTTTGATTAGTAGAATTTAAAAAATGGACAACTCAGGAGGAAAGCAAGTGTGGGGCAATGTAGGTAAAGGCATGTGGTATCAAAAAAAAACAAGACAAGGTGCACCTATTTATTATTATTGTAATCGAACTGGTAGAAGTAAAATTTTGGCAGCATCAAAAAGAAAGCGGACAAGGGTCATGCAAAATTGATGCTTCCTGTACCTCGGCCCTAATCTTTAAGAACATTTCTCAAGGGGTGAATAAAAGTAAAATAATAAAAAGTAACCTATTTTAAAACTCACTATGGTCATGAAAAAAAAGGTTTTTGTTCCATTATCCATAAGTGATAAAAATATGATAGCACAGCAATTGATACAAGGTAAGCTTTAACTAAACCTACTTACTAAGTATTTTTATGCATTTTTTAAGAATTCCGTACCCACAAATATTAAATAATATAAGGGAAGGTGTGGATGACACTTTCCAAAGAGTTCAGTTGACCACCGAGCATGACATCCATAATATTGCTCAAACATACAATTTACATGACACATCCATAAATGACCCCAATGATGCCATAAGCATTGCTATTTGGGTTGATTAAATGCAAAAATCAGAAAAAAATCCTGTAATTTAATATAAAAAGCAAGGTGAATTAGACCCAGGATTGTCTTTAAAGAAAGAGGATTTTTTGTTGGGAATTATGACACCATGCCAAGGTCAGATGTTACAAAAATTTGGTTCTGGGGGCATTATTTTTATGGATGCAATGCATGGGACTAATCCATATGATTTTAATTTAATTACTGTTTTGGTGGTTGGTGATTATGGTGAAGGCTTTCCTGTTGGGTTTTTGTTTGCTAATAGGAAGGATTATGTAGTATTAAAATATTTTATTTTGGCTTTAAAAAATAACATAGGAAATATTTTCGGCAACTGCATTTATGAGTGATGATGCCGACCAATATTTTGCTGTATTGAGTTCAGTAATGGATGTTTCTGAAACAAAGAAATGTGTGGATCGAGCTTGGCGTTCCAAAATATCATTAATCAAAGATAAATCCAAAGAAGTAGAGGTACCCCTATATTATCCGATTATCCCTGTTTTTTTTGGTTAAATAGGTAACATAAATAGCTGGGATAATTTTTCCTCTTGGTTTTTTTTAGATCTGTAAGATGTGTGTTCTACGACAGGAAGCAAATGCAAATAATTTTGAAGCAATGCTTGAAAGTTTTATTGAAATGTTACGAACGGATCCAGAGCTAAAAGTTTTGGGTGAATATTTCGAGGTCATTTATGCAAGAAGATCCTTGACTTGGGCTGTGTATTCCCGGACTGGCATACCTATTAACACTAATATGTATCTGGAATCCATGCACAAAGTGCTGAAATACATATATTTAAAAGGTAACAATTTACTAGTGTTAAAGAGAAAAGGGTATATTAGGCCTTATGAATAATAATTTATAATTGTTTGCTTTTCCTAGGAAATTCTCTAATTAGCAGATGCATAGAATGCCATATTACTTGCTTATGTTAAAATTAAGCATTTTCTAACAATTTTCAAGAAAAAGCAAAAAGATATTTTAATTCATAAGGCTCGTTATTATGTTTTTAGGCACCACTTGCATGTGATTAGATAAAACTTTGCATGTCCTATTAAAGTATATT